ACTGCCAAGAGCAGCATGTTCAGATTTACCCCCCAGTCAACATCGCAAATAAGGAATTCAGCATTTTGGTTATGGGACAGAGAAAAACAACACTGAACAATTCTTTCCCTCTGCAGTAACTGTAATACAACCTATAGCTCTATAATAGTATAATAGCTATATAGAATAATAGTATAATATACAGTATAATAATATATAGTATAGTATAATAATGTATTTCTTACTATTTGTTTGTATATTAAATACTTGAGCAATGATGAGGTGCTGGGTTGTACCACTGAACTGCCTGCTTAAAGATCGTGTTTAACACTTCCAAACTCTTCCATTCTGATCTTTTGTGGCAGGATGGTGTCTCATTTCTATGGAAATGGAGATGTTTGTGACTTAACAGACAAGCCAAGGCAGGTGACTGTGAAATTGAAGTAAGTGGACTTTTACCAAGTGAAGTTTTGTGTCTGTTTCCTGGGTCAGAGGAGAAAGCTGCTGCTGTTGTCACAAAGCTCAGGAGGCAGTATCTGTTAACTCAATAAAATGCTGCAGACAGCAGTGGGCTTATTGTGTGCTTATTGCCTACCAACCCCCCAATTTCTCCTCTAATTTCAGATGTAAAGAATCGGACTCCCCTCATGCCGTGACCATTTACATGTTGGAGCCTCATTCTTGCCAGTACATCCTTGGGGTATGTACAGACATGCCCTGAGGTCAGGGCTGGTAGCAGACCAAATCTCCAGATCTATGTTTAAGGTGGCCCCTTTCTCCCAGTGACTCTTCCCAAGATTCCTGCAGGGCTGAGTTTGTGGTTTGGTCTCTCTGTTCCAGGTGGAGTCTCCAGTCATCTGTAAAATCCTGGATACAGCAGATGAATATGGGCTCCTCTCGGTGCCCAGCTGAGGACAGCAAAGCCCCCAAGGCCAAATCCTGGCATTCCCATGGGAACAGTGTCTGTGAGCTGACAAAGGCCTCACCAGCACAGCTCTCCAAGCTGAGGGACTCCTGAACCACTTTGTGTATAACTATGTGTATATAAGAGCTTATTGATAAACTTTTAATGATTAAAACTTTGTCTTGCACTTCCTGCCTGGCTCGTGTGTGACACGTTCCCCCCCTCGTTGGTGCCATTGTTAAGGTGTAAGCTGTACTTGGAAAAGGCACAAAAACAACTGAAGCTTCAAGGGAGGAGTTCAGCTGCCAGCAGAAGGAAAAGGTGAAGCCAACACTTCCTGCTCAGGAGCCACAGCACCTCTCACGGTTTTTCTGCTGTTCCTGCTTTCTCCAAACACCAATGTTACCTCACTCTAACTGCTGGGAATTGTATGCTCCTGTCACTGTACCTCACCCCTCTTCAGCTGCTATTCCTGGGCTGCTTCCCAGGACATTCCATTTATTTATTTATATTTAACACTGTAGGGTTCAGCTTCATACAGTTATTTTGAACATCCTTCCTGCCACGAGGTCCAGCTCCCTGTAGCGTGTCTACCTCGCAAAGAACATTTGGCAAGTTTTAAGCTGCTGGCACTAGACATTCCTAGCAGTAAATTGGGATGGATCAGGTAAGTTGAAATTCAGCTGACAAGAGGATCCGAAGTAGATTTACATTATATTTTTGAAAAAGTTCGTAATGGCCAACACCCAGCAGAGCCTTGAATGCTTGGGGCTGTAGCAACAGTGTCCAGTGTGTTGGTCACTTCCATGTGCCCACCACATTTCCTCTTTTCTGCAGCCCTTGTGCAAGGCACAGGAATTTCTGACAGCTGTGGGGCGGAACCTGCCAGCCACATGTCAGATGAGTGGGCAAATAATGCCCAAAATAACTCCCCTGAGCTGCTGGACTGTTGCAACAGAGCCTGTTCTAGTGTCTCACCAAGCAGAAAACCCAAACAGCAGCAGCAGCATGATTCGGCATTTAAATTGACTCTCACAGCTCTTGCTCATATCCCAACTTCTGAGCTCAGAGGGAGCTGGAAAGGGGGAAGAGTCTTTTACATAGATTATCTCCCCATGGAGAAGTCTTGTAGCCAGATTCACTCATTTCCAGCCTTCCTGGCTGCCAGAGGCATCAGCAGCCAACACAGTGTAAGTAAAGATGAAAGCATTTCACCTGCTGCTGCCTGCACAAGGGGCTGGCTGGATCACCTCATGGCTCTGAGCTGTGCAATCCCTTGGGATGGTTTTATCTTGGATCAAGGCTGCCCTGATGAAAGGCTGGAGCCACCCAGCTCTGGGCAGCCTCAGCATCCCTCAGGCTGTGCCAGGGAAGGGAACACAACACACTCACTCTTCCTGCACACCCTCCTAGCGGTGATTAGATCAGAGGGCAAAGCAAGAATAATTGTTTTGCGGAATGTCAGAATTCCCTGCATGGGAGGGAACTCCCTGGTGGGAGGGGGAAGCACATCTCTGACTCCAAAGCCACAGCACTTGGTGCCCACCAACAGCTGCTTTTGCCATGGCGTGAGCAAACAGGTTCTTGCCAAACCCGTGTTCGTCAGCCTCGACTTCCCCTTGCGCAGGAAGCTCCAGGCTCACAGCTACTCCTGCCCAGCATCCGGGCTGCCCCAGCTCCATCCACCTCCAAAAGAAACAGGCTTTGCTCCCCCTCCTTTCCCATCCCCTCCTGACCAACAGCTGACTTAGGTTTGCTCCCACGGTTCAGGAGGTAGAGCTGGTTCACACAGACGAGTGCATTTCCTGGTCATAAATATCTTATTTTTTTATCCAGCACCTAAATCCAAGCCCTCCTTAATAAGAAAAGCTCCTGTGAGGTCTGGTGTCCCCAAAGCTGGTGCTGATCTTCTTTGGATTTGAGCAGCTCCTGTGCAAGTTCAGCTCTCCTCCATTAAACAATATTTCCAGTGCACAAAACACCTTTTCTTGTAGAAAGAGACAGAACGAGTGGCACTTGACCTGTTTTGGGAATGAAAGCATTGGTCCTGCCCTGGGCCACATGGTGTGGACCTTCCTTGCTCACTCAGAATAAGATAAAATTTCAAAATAAAAGGTTGCTTAAAATTAAAAAAAAACCAACCTCCCCCCCCCAAAAAAAAACCCCAAAAAACCCACAGAGAGTGTGTTGGATGAAACAAATGACAGAATAATTCCAGCACAGGGAGCTGGTGGCATAACTGTGCTTGTAGCAAAAAGCTGCCTCTTTAACTTTGTCCCTTCCACGCATGATTGTCTCTCTGTGGGATTTTGCTGGCCCCTGTGCTAGGATGTAGCTGTCCCACCTTCCCAAAGGAAAGCACAGCCTGAGGTTCATGAGCAGCACCACTGTATTTAGATGGAGAATTGTCCAACTCAGGGCCTCACCCAACAGTGACAGCAGGAGCAAAAACTTATCCTGACATATTCCAACTTATCAATTTCCTGTTCCTTTTATCAAAGCAGGTTGGGATTTGTCTGAAGAGCAGATTAAAGATTAAATGAAGAACAGATGACTGTGGGGCAGTTCCCAGAACCTGCCACAGCAGGAAAGTGCCCGGTCAGACCAGACAGCACAAACCACCTTGGGTTTTCCAGCCCCCAGGGCTGGACAGAGGCACCTCTGGGCTGCTGTGAGAGTTTTCAGCCATGTGGTTGCAAAAGAGTGGGGAAAAAAATTGGAAGCGATACAAAAGCAAGCTCTGATGTCAGTGAAAGCTCTAGGTAATAATTCAGAGTAAGGTTCTTACCCAGGGGTTGCTGTGGGGCATCACCTGACCCCCAGGATGTGTGACGGCCTCTCCTCTGACCTCCCTCCCCACTGAAGCTGTTTTTACATTATTTGATTTGAGGGAGAGGCAAAGGTGAAGTTATAGTTGATGTAATTTCACAGTTACGAGGAGTTTGAGTGACTCTGGTCATCAGCATGGGCTAACAGCACAAGTAACCTGAATTTCTGAGTTAATGAAGCCAGGGTCAGCTTTGTCTGGATCGCTCCTTTGGCTCTGCTCCCGTTAGCAGTGCTGTTTTTGACAGAGCACGACCACAGCACCACGGTGTTGCTCCATCCTTTGCCCTGCGTTTCCCCGGCACTCCTGCGGTCTGTCCCTGCTGGGCTCTGGCCAGCCCACGCCCTCCTTGCTGAACCCGGTTTCTCAGTTTTTCCCCACCTGTGATGCCGAGGCAAACCCTCGGGATCACACTGCGGTGCATTAAACGAGCAACTTCCACCTTTTATTTCCCCCTCGGCCACGGCTTGGGCAACGCCTGAGAGCAAGCGGCTCGAAGGGGAAAACTTGACGGATTTCACCGGGGAGGATCATCTCCGGCACCACCTCCTCATTCATCCTCCGCCGGGCACAGGGCAGGGGGCGAGGCTGGGCGGACCCGGGGTGCCCGCTCCGCTGCCAGCCCAACAAAAAGCACCCGAGGCAGCAGGAGGTGAGGGAGGAGCGCCCAGGAGAGCAGGTACAGGGGTCAGAGGGATGGGAGGGCGGCTGGAAGCGAGGAGACAGCTGTGTGATAAATTGACGATGCTGCTCCCACCCCGGTGTTCTGCGGGATGCGGGGCGGGCTGGGGGTCCTGCTGGCGGTGTGGGACAGAGCTGGGAAGTCACTGACGTCCCTTCCCTGCAGCTCAAGCTGGTGGCCCAGGCCCGGTGGGCAGCAGAGGGGACCGTGGTGACCCAGGTCACTCACACGGAGCTCTGCAGCTGCCTGTGCAGGGAGCAAACACGGCTTGGAGCAGCAGGGACAGGGACTCGTGGCAAACAGCCGGGGCACGGCTGGGGCCGGGCAGCGACGCTCCCGGAGCTGGGAATGCTGCGGGTCACTGGGGCAGTGACCTCTCCTGGCTGCCTCCCATATCCTGCTTCCAAGAAAACTTCGACAGGTAAGGCCAAACAAAACCGGTAAATCCTCGGCAGAGCAAAGCTCCAGCGCTGGGATCAGGGGAAGATCCATGGTCACACAATTCCGTGGGGCTCCCTGGGGCGTCACTGAAGTGGCTGAACAGGGTTTGGAGGGGTCAGACTTACTTGCTTGTCGTGCACCAGGATGGGAGACATAAAACCTGAGTCCCACGGAGCCATGAAAGGTATTTCAGATTGTGCAGGCAGAAAATGGTATTACAAGGGCCGCCTGGGACACAAAACAAAGAAAAATGTATCTACCGTGTCCTCAGATGAACCGTGCTCTCCTTCAAACCATTCTCTGACTCTCTCTTACTCTGAAGTAAGATGTGTTTTATTTTGCTGGATAAAGAGGGTTTCATGGATACAACTAATGAAACAATTTCTGGACTTTGAGTAAATAAGGATTATTTTAAAGCATATTCATTAATGTATTATAATGATGGATTTAATATTTATTTTCTCCAGGATGAGGATCCTTCCTGGCTGCCTTCATTTCTACTTCATTCCTTTCTTACTCAGCGGAGCACATGGATTCCTAATGTGGAGAACAATTCCACCCTCTCTGGTTTATAACTACTCCTATTCAAATCTCTCCTCTGTCTCAGAAGCACAAGCTCCGAAAACAGCAAGAGCTCTCAATTTCTCACACAATGTCATCGAAAAAATTACCAAGAGAGACTTGGAAGGATTTGACTGGCTGGAAGTTCTGGACTTTTCCTACAATCAGATCAGGGCTGTTGAGCCTGGAGCTTTCCAGAGTCTGCTCAGTCTGGTTTCTGCAGATTTATCATTTAATGATGAGAAGCTGCTTCTGTCAGATCTCCCACCCCACCTGAAGCTCTCATCCGCTGGCAAAGCTCCAGGGTCTCTGCAGCTTTCCAGGAATTCTGGCAAATCCTCAGGGGCTGCTCTGGAGCCTCCTGCTCCCACTGAGAAGCTGTCACATTCTGGAATTCTGTCTCTCCTGCAAATCCTTAGCCCCAGGCTCAGGAGAAGCACAGGGAATATTCTTCGGAGGGGAGAGAGGAACACAACAGCCCTTCCCACGGCCACACCTGAGCCCACCCTCTGCGGAACTCCCATCAACGGGACACTCGACCTGTCCCACAGCAACCTCACCCAGGACGAGCTGATGGTAAAACTGGATGACAACCTCTGCCAAGCCCAGCTGGGCAGGATTTTGGAGCTTGACATCAGTCACAACAATGTGGAAATGGATCTTCTGTCTCTGATTTCCCTGTTCTTCCCAATGGAAAACACGCTGTCCATCGACGCCAGCTTCAACAAGTTAACCATTAACATCCTGGATGCTGAGTTCTTCTGTAAGTTCCCATCCCACCAGCTTTTGTTCCTAAACATCAGCAACAACCCCATCAACAGCCTGGATACGCTGTGCCTCCCTCCCAGCATCAAGGAAATTGATTTGTCCTTCACCAACATCAGCAGAATACCCCTGAATTTTGCTGCAAAACTGTTTAACTTGGAAAAAATGTATGTTCAAGGAAACCATTTCATCTACACAGCATTCCCAGAAAGCGGGAATACGCTTCCAATGTGTGCCCCTCCCCCTGGAACCGTACACATCAGTGCCATCTCCTTTGTCAGGAACGAGGCTGGGACACCCATTGGAAGCCTTCCTGAGAAAGTGAAACACCTGGAGATGTCCAACTGCTCCATTGTGGAACTGCCAGAGTGGTTTGCTGACACAGTGGAAGAACTGTTATTTCTGGACCTCAGCAGCAACCACATTTCTGTACTTCCCAATTTCCCACCCTCCCTGCAGCATCTCGACATCAGCAACAATGACATCAAAGTCATCCACCCCAGCCTGAAATCCCTCTCCAGCTTAAATGTATTTAGGATTCAAAATAACAAAGTTATGGATATACCCATGGAGTATTTTCCATCAGCCTTAAAAAAGTGTGATTTTAGTAAAAACAAGGTGAAGGTGCTGTCCTTAACTTCTGTCCTGGAGAAGCTGGAACATCTCAATGTTTCTGGGAACCAGATCACACGTCTGGAGCCTGCCGGCCGCCTTCCTGCACTGAGCAGCCTGGACAGCAGCCACAACCTGATCCCAGAGCTGCCCGATGCCTTTGGGGAATCCCTCCCAGGGCTCAAGTATTTGAATCTATCAGGGAATAAGATCTCCTTTCTGCAGCGTGGCTCTCTGCCAGCTTCTCTGGTCGAGCTGGACATCAGTGACAACGCCATCACGACCATCGTGGAGGCCACGTTTGGCCCGCTGACGAGCCTCAGGGTTCTGACTGTTCAAGGGGAGCATTTTTTCTGCACCTGTGACCTGTACTGGTTTGTGAACGTCTACCTCCACGAGCCCCAGCTGGAGATCAGGGGCAGGGGGGCCGTGAGGTGCAGCTTTCCCCCGGAGCGCCGGGGCTCGCTGGTGGGCAGCAGCCGCCTGACGCTGCTGCGCTGCTCCCTGGGTGTCCAGCTGGCCGTGACCGCCGGCGCCGCCGGCCTGGCCGTGCTGGCCCTCATCGCGCTCTGCTGGCGGCTGGACGGGCCCTGGTACATCAGGATGGGCTGGTACTGGTGCATGGCCAAGAGGAAGCAGTACGAGAAGAGGCCAGAAAACAAACTCTTCGATGCCTTCGTCTCGTACAGCGAGCACGACGCCCACTGGACCAAAGAGAACCTGCTGGAAAAGCTGGAAAATGACGGGTTCAGGATATGTTACCATGAGAGGGATTTCAAACCAGGGCATCCTGTGCTTGGGAACATTTTTTACTGCATAGAGAACAGCCATAAAGTGCTTTTTGTTCTCTCTCCCAGCTTTGTGAACAGCTGCTGGTGTCAGTATGAGCTGTATTTTGCTGAACACCGGGTCCTGAATGAAAACCTGGATTCCCTCATCATGATTGTGCTGGAAGATCTCCCACCCCACAGCGTCCCACAGAAATTCAGCAAACTCAGGAAACTGCTGAGAAGGAAAACCTACTTGAAGTGGAGCCTTGAGGAACATAAGCAGAAAATGTTCTGGCATCAGCTAAAAGCTGTCCTAAAAACAACCAACGAGCCGCTGGTGAGAGCGGAGAACGGATCCACTCTGGAAATGCAGGAGCTGGAATGAGATCCAGGGAACTCTGAGGGCTGTGCCTGGAAAGCCTGTGCTCCGAGAAAAGCATTTACCTCCTGCAAAGGCTGCTGTGATGCCCAGGGGTTTGTCTGGGTCAGTCCCAGGAGAGGCTCCTAGGGGGGACTGCAGCAAACCTGTTATTCCCTCTGATAAAGAATCCTGAAGGGATGAGGCCTGAGCACTGATAAAAAGCCTTTTCCTGCTGGATGCTTGAATTTGTTCAGCTATTCCCAGCACTTCTGTAAAGTGCTGTGGATGTCACCTGAAAGGAAGAACTGCTCAAGTCACACTGCATGTCCTTGCTGCCTTCCTGAGGTGGTGGCAGTGAGAAGCAATGTCTTAGGACTGGACTACAGATTCCCAGTTCTGGCACAGCTTAAGGTGGGAACACACCCTGTGTGCAGGTATGAGACCCACAAACCACACTGCTACATGGGAGCAGCTCCTTTCTGTGCTTTGGCAAGGAAAGATTAAAGATTGAATTAATTTAGCCCTCCCAGAGAGGCTAAACCCACACTGCTACAGACTTTGGGTTCAGTGACTGCTGGAAGGGACGAGACTTGAAAATCTTCTGTAAATCCAGAATAAAATATAAAACTAAACAGTACAAAAAGGATCAGCTGAGTGTGGTGGTCTCTGCTGTTAAATAACTGGGGTGAGCTTTGTTTAATCATAAATCTCTGAAGAATAAGCAAGTTCTGTACATTATTATTTAGATTTAGGGAAGTTCCACCTTACACAGCCACCCTGACCCATTTCCAATGGATTCAGTGCTACCTCTGCATGGTCCTTGCCCTCACCTAGTGCCACTTGATAATTTTATTTACTGTGTTTGGGAAAAAACCAAAATAAATTCAGCTGATCCAACTTTCACATTCAAGGGAAATCACCAGACTGTGACAAAAAATAAACACCAGGTGAGGACAAATGCTTTGGTGCAGCACGACTTGAACTCGCTCCTATGATGAGCAAACACAAACAACTTCCCAGCAGGAAATCCCAAATCCAGGAATGCAGCATGTTTGGAACACACACTCTGAAAAGGAATTGGCCCTGCTGTGACAAAACAAGACCAATACCAACCTATTTGCTGCCAAAAGGGGGAACATGCAACAAACATCTCCATTGACAGAGATCCCTTGGAACTCAGTGCAAACCCAGCTTTCCTCAGCAATATGATTTGGCATCATCAGCTTTGAGGTTTCACATATTAGGATAAAACTCCTAAAACTCCTGCAGGCCAGCAACTGAAAAAGCCAACTCTTTTCACTGCAGAGATTTAGGGCTTAAAAAGACTGGGAATTATAAAAATATTACACATATTTTTGTTCATTTAAGCAACCAGAAGTCCCTTGCTAATGAGATTAATGAGCCACAATTAGTTAAGCAGTTGTTTTCTAATAACCTTTAGGCTTTCCTCTTTCTAAAGCATTCAGTGGTCACATTTCTCACTTCCTCTCTTCCCACCTCCACATTCTGCTGCTTCCCTCTCAATTCCATTGCTGCTTGTTAACCTTGCAGTGACACTGTACTGGAGCTTTACTGGTTCTTTACTGGTTCTGTGCTCAGCAGGCTTCTGATAGAAGAGGCTAAGGGGAAAAAAAGGAGAAGTTATACTCCAGAAGAGTCTAAGCCAACTATTTTATCAAAAACTTGATTACTTCAGTCCATGATTCACTGCAAAGTTGTACCTGCTTTCAAATTCCAATCTCAATTTACTACATCCATGAGCCTCTCATAAAACAGCCATTTAGTACAGCTAGCAACTTAAATCAGGTTTTGTTCCTCCTGCAGATGAAAAGGTCTTTCCTGCACTTTCCTGTCTGGCACTATGATACTGTACAAATTAACACCAATATTAATTACACAGGTGGTGTTAAGGGCACAGCGGGCACCGGGAGTTAACAGAGAGCAAATTACAAAGAGCTTTGATGGGACTTCAGTTCTTTTGTCACATAAAAGCAATAAAACCTCCTGCTTGGCCCCTTCTTGCTTGACTCCTACGTGAATACTCAATGCAAATGTTTTATGAGGTGTGAGTGGTTTAATTTTGAAACATGTGATGAAGTTCATGTGATCTAAAGGCACAGGAGAAGTTGCACAAATACACAGCAAAGCCCCAAAACTGCCTCACGTATATGCTTCCCTCCAGTACAATTTGTACTGAAGAAAAATTCAAATACAGAACAGCCAAACAAGATCTTCTCATTATCTTTTGTACTTAGTTTAGAAAAAAACACATTCTTTTTGAGAAAAAAAAACAACCCTGGGCAGAGAGAAAAGACTTATGGAAATAATTTCCATTTTACATTTGTATTAGAAAGTTGTTCACACTGATTTTATTGCAAGAAAGCTGGTTTGAATTATTCAGAATTAATTCATATTCAGTGTTAAACAAAGAACAGTGTTCCAGGAGAATCTTGAGAACAGTTTAGTTAACAAAAAGCCTGAACCAACAACTCACAGACAGCAATGATGTGGACATTTTTTGTTCCTAAAGTAACAAATCACGTTCCCATCACTGTCATTTTGCTGAAGATGTGGCACTTTCCTATAGCAAGGTATCAAAAGCCTGTGGCACAATTATTTTGGAGACACTGAGGCTCTGCTGAAGTCCACAGAAGCTGAAAGGTGATTGCTTGTTTGGAAGAGATCTGGCCACTTAAAGCAAGAAGTGTCAGGAATTTAAACGCCCCTGAATTGTTCTGTCTCCCATGGAATTCCCACAATAAGATACAACACAAATGGGTGAATTTGTAAAAAAAATAATTAACTTCTGTTACTTGCTTGCTGTGTAGACCAACAGACAAAATTTCTAAGCAGACAGATGAAATTGATGTTAGACTTAACAAAACCTCAAAAACTTGTCATTCTGGTTTTAGAAATGTTAACAGCTGTCAGTTCTTCCCATCAGGAATAGCCAAATCACAATTCATACAAAGTCATGGGCAAAAAGAGCAAGCAGCAACACGACTCTGTGCCTGACAGCTGACCAGTTAGGGAATTCCAGAGGTGACTCTGCTCCTCCTGGTGTATCAGTCACATAATACTGCAAAATTAATCTTTATCCTCAAGTAATGCAAATAATTCAGTAGCACATGGTTATTTCTATCAGATGTAAAACACTTCTCCAAATAATTTGGGGATACAGAATGCCACCATCATTAAAACCAATGCCCAGCAGATATAGACTGCAGAGGTTTATCCCAGTGCCACACTTCCCAAATGTCCCTCCCCAGTGGAAATGTAATACTGACCAAACAAAGCCTTGTCCCACTTGAAGAAGCCAAAACTGAAATCCTGAACTTCAGCTGAGTTCATAGGAATTTTGCCATTTACCTCAACAGAATCACGGTTTCACCCCATGAAGATAAAGGACTTTTGTTTTTGTTTTGTTAGAAAACGTTGGTTCTTCCAACCTTCTGCAACGGGAAGAGTTTAAATTCAAATACTACCAAGCATCTTTCTGATTCTTCCTTCCTGAAAATACAAGGTATTTTATTATATTATTATAATACTCGGCATTATCATGGCATGGTTTGGGTTAGAAGGGACCTTAAAGATGATCCAGTTCCATCCTCTGCCACAGGCAGGGACACCTTCCCCTATATCCCAGGTTTCTGTCAGCCCTGCCCAACCTGACCTTATGTCACAATAAACCACATAATCGTGGCATCTAGGGTTTTTTCTACTTGCCCAGCAGTAAAAGTGAGTAACAAAACCACCTTTGTGCAACAATCCCAAATGTAAAATATCCCCCTTGTTGGCTCTCCACGGGATCTCCAGAGCGCGTCACGGAGGCGACAGCTCCGCGTTTGCCTCAAACGCAAACGGGAGCGGTGTTTCTATCCATCGGCAGCAGTATCATGGAGCATGGAGCAATTCCTCCCCGGAGCAGAGCAGGGGACCCTCTGGAAGGGCTGGCCGCTGCCAAGGCTACACGGAGGGCAGCGGTATGTCCCGCCCTGCGCTGCCGGAGGGATGGAGCGCAGGGATGCAGGGCTTGGCGAAGGCAAAGCCCGCGGGCTGCAGGCTGTGAGGAGTGCTCACCTCCGCCGAGGGGCTGCTGTTGTACACGCTGTAGTAGGGCTCGATCCGCGTGTTCATGGGCGTGGAGCTGCTCTGCCCGTAGTGCTGCTGCCCCGCAGACGCCTTGGGACTCAGCACGCTGTCCTTGGAGTGGCTGGCACCGCACGCCTGCTCCAAACCCTTCTTCTGAGGCTTTGGAGACAACATGTAGGCTGAGTTGGTCTCGTGGTGGGACGACTTGTTCCTGTTGACCTCCAGGCTGCCTTTGCCCATGGCTCGAAGCCTCGTCTTGTGCTTGCAGCAGAAAAAGACCAGGGCCACGTACTGCAGGCACCAGAGCACGCGTCTCCGCAGCCCCGCGCTGTTGCGGGAATATATAAAGGGATTTAATCCCGACTTGAAAAAAATGAGCGTAAACCCACACAGCTCAAACTGGTAGAGCACAAAGCCACCGCTGCCGGACAGCATGTCCTGCACCAAGGAGATGGCCAGGGGCAGGCAGCACACCAGGACGGAGAGAACGATGACCACGCACGTCACCACCGCCTTGGAGTCTTTGGCCGTGGCCAGGTTGACGGCCGAGGCCAGCGGGAGCCGGCCGGCGAGCTTGGCATGGCCGTGGGGTGGCTTGGTGCAGCTCTG